CTGAATACTGCATTCAGTTCTGGGCATCATGGTTCATGAAGGATATTGACAAGTTGGAGTGTGTCCAAAATAGGATGACAAAGATGGCAAAAAGTCTGGAAACCAAGTCCTATGAGGAATGGCTGTGTTTATCCTGGAGAAAAGAAGAAGATGTGAAATATGACAGCCATCTTTACATATTTCAAGGGACATCATGTAGAAGATGGATCAAGCTTGTTTTCTGCAGCTCTACAACATGTACTAATTACAAGAAAAGAGATTACACTTGACCATTAGAAGAACTTGTTGGCAGTAAGAACTGTTCAACAGTCGGATGCCTTGGAGGGTGGTAAACTCTTCTTTAAACAAAAGTTGGATGGCCATCTTTTGGGAGTGCATGGCAGGAGGTTGGACAATATGGCCTTTGCAATCCTTTCCAACTCCATAATTCTTTGAGTCTGTTCTATAATTGAATGAAATTCAAGTGGCACTTGCATCAGCCTCTTTTTTGTGGAAAGTTGTGAAGTGTCTATCTTTTTTGCATTGGGCCACACAATGTCTTCGACTGGCCATGGCATGAGTAGAACAGAGCCCCTCATCCTAACTGCCTCTGCCTCACATGGACTCCTGCAACAGCTGCAGCCTCCAAACTACCTGCAAGGGAAGTTCCATGTGGAACATATTGGAGTAGCTGTGGAACATATTGGAGTGGCCCAACTGAAAAGTTAATAACATGTGTTATTGTGACCAGATTATTTGGTCCATGAACAACTGTAATTGAGGGCCAACTGCTATAGGCAGTTCTCACTGGCCCTCACTGTCAGCTTTGAGTCACACATTTGTCCCTAACTATATAGCTGCTCTGTTGGGGTGAATGCTACATCATCCAAACCAAAGAACCTCATGCCCAGAGAGCCTCCATCATAAGATTTAAATTCAATTTTATGGCCCTTACTCAGCTCATCACTGAATCCAGGCACTTGCACTACTACTTCTAATTCATAGGGGACAGAGAAACAGAGGTGGGTAGCAGGTACAGACACTGTGCTCCAAATGCCCAGATGATAATGTCAGTGGTTTCATATAGATGTTGAATAGCAAAGGAAACAAAACAAAATCTTAATAATAATATTAATATTAATAATAATAAAATTTATTTATATCCCGCCCCTTTGAGGTCAACTGGGGAGGCTAACAACAATAAAACGATACATAAAATGAACAAAATCCAATTCCCTCCCCCCCTTAAAAAGTTATTAACTCAATTCCAGTTAAAAACAGAATACAATACAACAATAATTTTTTTTAAAAAAAAACATTTCCAGTGAGCGGCAGTAGTTCTTGATTGCATTTAAAAATATAGCCCTATATTCCACAAAATCTTATGGAATCCCACAGCATCACTGCCATGGAACTGAACTGAAGTCCACCAGTGCTACTCTCTGATAACTACCACGAAAGAGGGTTGGAGCCATGACTATGGAGTGCCTCTTTAACCCCAAACTACAGAGCTGCTCAAGGAAAAGTAGGCTTTGTTAAAGTAAGCAATGAGGAAAAATAAAGGAGAGGAATACACGCAAGAAACACAAGATTGTGGTCTAAAATGTGTAAGAGTTGACCTACAGTTATAGCAGAACCATAAGAAAAGGCAAGAAATCATGTACACAAGAAGCCTGCAGTGCCTCACCACAAAGTTAAGATGTGGCCCAAAAGAAGAATAAATAAATGTCAAAGCAAATAAACTGGAAAGAAGAAAAAATATCTATGAGTTAATTATCAGCAGAGGGACTAGAAAGTCAATGGCAGATACACTAGTGACCAAGGATGGGTTTCTACTAAGAAAATGTCACTGAAACACTAAAACAGATCTAGCAGCATATAAAAGGTGGGTCCCAAATTAATCCTGTTCAAGCAGGGGATAAGTAGTAAAGAATTCAATACAATGCAGTGAGATTATATAGCTTTTGAATGTAATAGGTAACACAAAGACAAGCAGTATGATAGTTCTAGACATAACCAGACACACAGGTTCTTACATTAGAAGAGACAGAAAAACCATTGAAGAAGAGAGGATTGTGAAGAAAAAGATAGAGGATCAATAAAATAAGTCCAAATACCTTTACTGGGCCAACCCAAAAGCTCCAAAACTCTTAGCATATGCTTTTGATACACTTGTATTTCCTTACTCAATAAAGATGGTTTTTAAAAAAGCACAAGGGGATAAGAATGGGGGGGGGGAGAACAGTAAAAAGTTCATAGAGTAACCAACTAGATTTATCAGGCTGCACCCATGATGCTCCTGAGCAAATTTGAAACAAGGGCAATAAAAGGAGAGCAATAAAATTTGCTTCTCTGTTTAAAAAGAGAAAGAAAAAAATCTTTGCAAACTCATATGGATCTTGCAGGGAAGGATGACAAAAGAGACCGAACTTCAGTCATAGAAAAGAAGAGAACAAGAAAGACAGAAATTGAACCAGAAGTTGTAGCAGAATAGAAAATGAGCAAAAATGATATCAGTAAGAGAATGAGATGTTTGAATAAGAAGGGGAATTATAATCTGAAATTGTCCAAAAGGTTTGGAGATAGTGTTGTATATTTCATTGATATATCCTTGCTTACTAACTTCTGACCATTTAAGACAAGAAGCTGGGACTATAAGGAAACAGAAATTAAGAAAATCAGGTTACTAGTTCAAACTCCACCTGTGTGATGAAACTTTCAGAAATAACATATGGCCTTTGCAGAATGCCAGAAATAGTGCAAATTGAGTCCACTTTAAGGGTTAGGGTTAGTGCTAGGGAATCATGGGAATTGTATTTTTTCTGAGACATTGAGCCTTCTCTGTCAGAGAGCTCTGGTGCCACAATAAAATACAGTTCCCATGATTCCCTAATCCTAACCCTAACCCTTAAAGTGGAATCAATCTGCACTATTTCTAGCAGTCTGCAAAGGCCCATAATTTCTCCTGCCTTCCCTCTCCCTACTAGTATTATACAAGAAGCACACTGAGGTTCGAGGTAGTGGTGTCCATCCAGTAGAAGAGCTACTGAAATTGACTAAATTCTTTCCAACCAACTACAGATTTGGGAAACAGCAAAAGCTGTCATCACCACCTAGCGGATTCCCCAAGGGGCACTGTTTAATGTCTGTACACTGTTTGTTCTCCTGTCAGCCTCTGGCATACCACTTGTCAATAGTCCTACTACTGTGCTCATGTTAAGGCCTATAAAATTAGAAAATAGTGGGGTTGGCTGGTTTAAACCAGGTTGATTTAAATCAAAGGTCCATCTACACTGTAAAAATAATGCATTTTGACACCACTTTAACTGCCATGGCTTCATCCTCCAGAATCCTGGGATTTGTACTTTTGTAAAGCACCAGCACTCTTTGGCAGAGAAGGTTAAAGACCTTGTACAACTACAAATCCCAGGATTCTGTAGGATGAAGCTACAGCACTTAAAAGTGGTATCAAACTGCATTATTTCTACAATGTAGATGCACTCTCAGTCCTGACCTGCAAACAGTCTTTGAAAAGTTTGAGGTCTTTCTGGCAGCGAGGAGAAACATGTTACAATTGTTTGTTCTTGCCTACAAAAACAAAATTTACAAAGATTTACATCTCTCCAAAAGAGCAAGCTAATGTCACCTTATCAAATTTTCATGGAGTGTAATTATTCGAATGGCTTGTCTACATAAGCTTATACCCCAAACTGCCCCTGGGCTGGCTGTGTGGTGTCACACTACACAGCCCTAAACCTCCAAATCAGATTGGGACTGTTGACATGATGCCCAGACCTGATTCAGGGTTTCCACCTCCTAACCCACAGGTACTTAACACACCTTTTGTTGCAGTTTCCTGGTCTCTTCACTGCAATGGCAGCAGTCCTCACCTGAGGAGAGAACGAGGTGCCCAGCCATACCAATAATGCTGGGTGCAGCATTCTGACCTTAGAGTGATGTGCTCACAGCAATGGCAGCAGTCCTCACCTGAACTGCCTGCCACCATTGCTGAGGTCAGAAGGATGCACCCAGCATTGTTAGCCTGGCTGG